GGGGAGCAGCCAGAACTCTGTGACAACAGGGGAGAGTGGGGGTAGCGCAGGGAATGCTGCTGAGGACACGAGCAGAGGAAAGACAGTCCCTTTGGAGGCAACCCAGATGTCCTGGGAGCTGCTCTCAGGGCCGGAGGAGCAGCAGCCCCGTGAGGTGAGTCCTGCGTGGGTCGGCCCCTGTCCTGCGCCCGGTTGAGTCCCCAGGCTGGTCCCTGCAGGAGCAGCGGGTGCTGCACTTGTCCCATTCCTTATGCTTCCCTTAAGTATCTGCTGCTGGCTGCTGGGCTAAGGGATGGTAAATCCTTTCGGGTGGCCGCTTCTACCCCCTTCCCTGTTCCCAAAATCTCCTTGCAAATCCCTTAGTTCTCGTGCTAAGCTGGCGGCCCCTCAGCCCCTCGCCCCTTGCGGAGCAGCTCCTGCCACCCAGCAGTGCAGCCCCAGGTCAAGGGCAGCACCGGCTCCTCTGCTTGCTCTGGCAGCTGCTCCTAGTAAATCTCTTACAGTGGTGTATCAGTAGCTCAAAGTTTAGCGTGGTTTTTGTAAAGCTAATGTTTTTCTCGTTGGTTTGTAGGATGATAGCAGCCCAGATGCAGTTGTCTGCCCTCAGTACAGGCCCAGGATGGGGCAGACACTGTCCTCTAAGCTTCTGCTGCTGCTTCAGTGCTCAGTCCTGCAACATTTACTCAAAATGCTGCATATTTGTGCCGGCCGGGAGCAGCTTCTTGGTGTGGAGCAGACAACTGAAATGAGCCAACCCAGGAACCATCACTCCCTCATGCTCATGAAGACCATAATTGCAAGGATTATTCCACAGCTGTCAGGCTTGCTTTCCTAAACCACAGAAATATTGGACTGGCTGAACCTTCCTTCCTTCCTTGGGCACCACTTGCTTCTGCCGTCTGTTGGGTATGGGGCTGAGGGTAGATGTGCTTTGTGTGTTTGTGGTGTAGTTGAATAAGAGGTTTCACGTTCGTGTCCATCCATGCCAGTGTGCTGTGTTGTTCTTTCCATCATCTGCGTCTTGTCTGTGGACATTTTGCTGAGAGCCGGGGCTGTGTCTTTGCTGCAGCACAGGGCCCCAGCGCATGCTGGCGCTTTGCTTCCGACGAGCGCCTTGGGGCAGCTCAGCAGAGCTGGGGGACGGCCGGTCCCGGGGGCAGCGGTGGCCTTGCCCAGGGGTCTTTAGGCTGGGGGCAGCCTCCACCCCACGCTGCAGGCAAGCGACCCTCGGTCGTGTGCGGGAGGGCTGTGCTCTCCTCGGGGATCCGGGCATGTCACTGGCCACACTCCAGGGCTTTCCCAGGACTTGGAAACATTGAGAGCTGTTAAATCCAAACCACTCCAGCTCCCATTTATAAATAGTTCAAGCCCGGCCTTTTGCTTCTGCTGGGCTCAGGCAGGAGTAGCTCCCCGGGCCCACAGAGTCAGTGTGGGCTCTGCAGGAGGGGTGGTCAGAGCAGAGCGGTCCCAGCCCAGTGCTGGCTGCAGATCTCTGCTGCCGGAGCCCCCCCAGCTGTCGCGCAGCCCCGGGGGCTCCCTGAGACCCTGCCAGCCCCTGGCGCCTGGCAGGTGTTGCTGGGTGGCTGCAGGATGCTCTGCCCTGGCACGGCAGGGCCGTCACAGTGTGTGCAGGTTGGGAAACAGGGCTGAAACGAGCGGGATTTGGGGTGGATTTGACACTAAATTACTGAGGATCAATCTACATGGGAGAGGAACTTCAATCAAGTAATCAATGTTTGTTCCCTCCTGTGATAAAGACAGTTGCATTTGTTTTCAGTCTGGAGTTGATCTCTGCTTTCTAACTGAATATTTGTGCTGCTGAAGCCGTGTCACGCAGATCCCCTGCAAAGCAAATGCCTCTGGCTTGTGGGCATGACTGTGCCGAAGCCGCTGGCCAGCGCACGTAGGTGATGCAGTTCAGGGGCCACGGGTGACCAGTGGCGGAGGGGGGGCACAGGGCTCTCTCTTGGCAGGGGGTCCCCAGGAGGGTCAGGATTAAACCTGAAGCTGCGCTTGGCAGGTCCCGAGCCACACTGGCTCATCTGAGTGGCTTCACTGAGCGCAGAGAGAAGACGCTCAAGGTGGGATGATTGATTCGCCCAGCACAGGCCAGAGCTGGAGCCACCTGCACGGCCTCTCCATGCACGTTCAGACAGTCCTCTCACTCTGCAAACCGGGAGCGGGGTCCAGGCTCCAGCCAGGCTCTGGGCCGTGCCCGGGAGTCGCAGCCCCCCAGGAGCCCCGAGCGGCCCCGTCCAGTGTCCCCGGGGCGGCAGCTGAGCCTCGGCCCTTCCCTCCCAGGGCCCAGAGCTCTTTCCTTGGGGGTAGAAGCACCTTTAGAGAACCCCAGTGCTGGGAGCGGGCTGGAGGGGCGGGTGGGTTGTCAGTGGCAGCAGACAGCTTCACTAGTGCCGCTCGGCCTTGGGGGAGAGCAGGCGAGTGGGGAACCACGAGGCAGCCGATCTGCTGAGGCGCTCGGGCTGCAGACACCTGGAGCACCAGGCAAGGCCCAGATGAACGGTGCAGTAGTGGTTGGAGGGAACTGGAAAGCTGACAATTCCTTATTTAAAGTACTTACAAATGGCACTTGTGCATAGGAATTTAGCAATTAGAGAATAGAATCCTTGGCTTAGGAACGTGTCGACTCATACAAGTTCTTGTATTGCTCTAAAAAACACACTTTGAATACTCTGGTTTTAGAGAGAGAGAAGGGGGGAAAAAAGATCAAATTTCCCAAGAACACACCGCAATTTCTGAGCTCATACTCTATTGGTGAAATAATCTGTTTTCTCTCATGCTTCCTTCTGACAGCCACATTTACAGGATGGATACAGGCAGAAACCACCCATACTCCATCCTGAGAGCTCACCCCCCTGCCACACCAGACAGTTTCCCCCCGCTCACTG